CCATAGGATAATAAGTAATGAATAACATCAGTTCTCCTGTGCTTTGTAATTTTTCCAGTAAAATAATATTAGGGAAAGTTTTATTTTTATTTGGACTAAGATACTGAGACTTAATAATATTTTTGAGAATTTAAATGGTATTAGGGGAAAAGTAAGCAATAATTTGGACAGGAATTTCATGTTCGTTCCAACTCCAGGCAAAACTGAAAGACTTTTAATGAATGATTCCTTGGAAGAGAAGCAAAGGAGATAACTGAGAAGAGGTATAGAATAGCAGCATAAAGGGAAGAAAAAAATAAGGTAGGGGAAAGGGAATAATTCTTTAAAGAAAATTAAAGAAGCTAAGAAACAAAATAAAAAAATGAGAAACATTTGCAAGTAGTTTTAAAAACAAAACGAGCAAACAAACATATGAAACGAACAAATAAAAAAAATTGTGTTAGCTTCCAGATGCCTATTATGCTACTCTTCCACTCCTCAACAGGACAGAGGGAGAATATATGAAGAAACTCCTTATAGGCTGAGATAAGGAAGGGGAGACTGCTCAGCAATTACTATCATTTTACAAATGTGGTTTGGGGAAGATAAGTTTACTTTTCTGCCATTAGTAACAGTGGAGAGTAGTGGGAACTAAAAGTAAACTAGAAACTCCTCTTTCTTTCCAAATTAAAAACAACCCTCTTCAATCTCTTTCCCACCCCCACAAACAGTACAGAGGAATGGGCATTGTGGCCAGTCCATAATGTTTTGTCTCTGTCCCTCCGTCGTACTCACACACCTCCCCTGCTCCAGCATGGGAACCATCCCATTGGATGCACTTATTTCCAAACTGATCCACCATGGGTTCCTCCACAGGCTTCAGCTCTGTACACATGGAGTACAGGGGGACAGCCTGCTCCACCATGGGCCACAGGGAAACTTCTGCTCCAGAGCCTGGAGCACATCCTCCCTTCCTTTCTGCACTGACCTTGGTGTCTGCAAAGTTGTTTCTCTCATATTTCCTTACTCCACTCTTCCATCTGCTTTCATGCAGAATTTTGTCCCTTTCTTAAATATTTTACTACCGATGTAAAATCTGCGTTGCTCAGCTTTGGCCATTGGTAAGTCCCTTTTGGAGCCAGCTGGAACTGTTTCTTATCTAACATGGAGCAGCTTCTGGACTCTTCTCACAGAGTGCACCCCTGCACCCCTCTATGTAAACCCAATCAAACAACGTCTAATTCAGTGTTTGAGAAATGTTTAAGACTTTAAGAGATACAACATCAAGATGTGAAAAAAATTTCTTCAGGTGATTCATACAAGTATTATTCATACTATTTCTGAATTTGGTTAAGTTCCCTGAATAATTCAGGTGGTGCAAAAATGAATTCATAACTCAGTGACACATTCTATCACCAACCCACTGGTCATTATACATGTTGAGGATATCCCAGACCCATCTTCAGCATCCCAGAAAGATTCTAACCTTAAAACTGTAATCTTCATTACTAAGCTTTCAGCCATTAGTGTGACCACAGACAGGAAAGTTGAAGCTCCACTTGTAACTCTGCTCCACTTTGTAACACAACAATAAGGTTAAGATATATTTAGAAGTTCTGCTAAAAGATCAGTTTTTACCTTCTGGTTAGAACATTCACCTAGGAGTTAAAGGATAATGAGCTCTAGACTTTAATTAATAATCAAATATTGAAATACAAAATAGAAGAAAAGCAGAAAAAAAAAATGCTCTAAAGACAAAAAATGTTTTCACCAAAAATAGTGTTATGATGTTAAAGTAGGTCTTACTTCACTCTTAGCACTCTTTCAAGTGCTAATTCAAAATATATTTTCTGCTCTTTTATTCTTGGAATTAATACTTAATTCTTACCCTTTCATTTCTATTGTTTTATTTTTTTTTTACAGTCTCCAGCTGGAAGGCAAATACTTTGATTCAATTCAAACAATAAAATTTAATCTTTTATATAAATACATCTATATATAAACAAACCAATTCTCTGTATACAGAAAGAAGCTTTTCTCATCAGAACAAAAAATATAGAAATGGTTGATTTTTTTCAGATTACACCAACTCTTATGTAATTTTTCTCAAGTGCAGCATTCAAAATAGAAATTAAGTTATTTTCCCTGACCTAATTATGACAAAATATTATTGTGGATAAGTTTCTTTAAGCTTTTTTTTTATTATTTTTATTTCAAATGATTAGTAGGAATCTGAATTCAATTCTTAATTTGGTCTAGTTTATATGGCCCTCGAAATGACCTGAAGAATTTATGTCAGAGAATTGGTACAAAGACTCACTGCAGGTCTAGTTATGTATTCTTATGTAGCAGTAGCTTGCAGCATCAGTTGGGCTGTTGCACAAGATTTTACTGCATTTCCAACTAGCTTAGTAAGATTTCTTTTTCTCCTGCTGTACCCATTGATACATAAATATATAGTAAAACAAAATTCAAGTCCTTATCTAGTATAACACAGCTTCATTATAAACAGGGTATGGTGATTTGCAAAAAAGTTGTCTTCTAGCACTTCATGCTACTCATGCAATAATACAAATTTCATACAGATGTGCAAATATTCCTGTTTAGAGGAAGAGTAATTAACAGCTCCCTAGTTAGCCATTCTAAAACACCAAGAATGTTACCAGCACCATTTTATGTCATTTAGGACTAGCCTGAATCCCTGTATTGCACTGTGTTGTGCTCATGAACTACATCCATATTATGCTACTTTAGGATTAAAGGAAGCCTCTGGTTAAATATTTTGTTTCATCTGCTACAATATATTAAAGGCTAGAAGTAGGTGGAATTTCTTTTTCCAGACTTTAATGTCTAGGACTTAATTAAGTTGCCATCCTGACAAGGTCCTCAGATTGGATGTAGCACCTGAAAGAGATGTTTTGAGGGCTGACATCTGAAAGTTACGTGTAGCACCTTCTGGCTTCACAGATGCCAACAGGCACCTGTTTAGGCACTTCTATCAAGTTACTAGGAGCAGATGTATATATATATATATGATCGAGTTGCCCTTAAGTTGGGTGAAAAAGGCATCATTCAACTGATTTGTTTTGTACAGCCATAGTAGGACAAGACAAATGACATCCTGCATGCACTCGTTTCTTTTCACTTGCTCTAGAAGAAAACTGTATGACTAGCTCAGCCCAGACTGTATATTACAGTCAGAAGTTAAGTGAAAGGAATATCACCCAGCACTATTTTGTGGTGTAGCTAGATTTTCTGAAAGATCTGTTGTACATAAACCAGCCTGCATAGCTTGACACTAAAAGCTTTTCCCTATTTTGGGGAGAAATGAAATGGTAGATGCTTAATAGAACATGGCATCATACTTTCTATTCCAAAACATCTAATTGAAAAAGAGAATTGGGTTGATCTTCTGAAGAACTCACACTAGCTTTTACATGCTAAATGTTACAGATTATATATATATATATATATTTTTGTATAAGACCACAAGATGACATGTGGTAGTCTCAGTAACACTTTGTTTTACATAATTTATATCATTGTTCAATGATCTTTGATGAATGACTTTAAACTAGTGTCCCTGACAAATAACAGAAAAACAAGAAATCCAAGTTTGATCAGTAGCAAAAGATTTTGAACATTCCCCCCCCCCATTTTTTTTTCAATAAAAATTGTATTTTGAGTTGTTGTTTGTTTCATTTGTTTCTTTGTTTTTCCTTAGTCCTCCCTGTTATATCTATTTTTGGCACTTATTTTTTAAGCTGGAGACAGATCATAGGAATAATCTTTATTTTATTTTTGATACTTCATAGATTTCTAGAATTTCCATATTCTAGTCTATAAACTAATAAGTATTTAAACATTTCAATGCAACAGATTGCCCCTCATGGATAACTTTTAAACAGTCTTTAAAGCAGTCTTTAAGGAAAAAGGGAAGAATAAGGAAGAGAAAGACAATTTATTTCCCTTTTAGTTTCCCTAAATTCTTCTTCCACTCTCTTGTGATACTCATGGATTTTTTTGTTCGGTTGTTTTGTTTTTAGATCCATGCATTCTTTTTTGAGGTTTTCATCCAAGGTTTTGGCGACATAATAAAATTGGTAGTTTAATCTTTTTCCCCATTGATTGTTCTGTCTTTGGTAACTATGGCAAGTTTTTCTAATCTTGTCATATTGAAATTCTTATAGCCTATTTCAAAAGATAAAGCATCAGTAAAAAACAAACAAACAAACAACAACAACAAAAAAAAAAACACAAATTAATTGTAGTTCCTGCAGATTTTAATGTATTTATTATAAAATATACTGTCAGGAAAATATTAAAAGTATCATTATCAAGAACATCAGAAACAGAATTTTGCACAGATGCAGTTCCATGCTATCCATAGTACAAAAAAGAGTTTCTGTCAGAAACGCAGAGAATTGTTTATAAGTGTAAATTCAAAAAGAGTGGAGGGAAAGAGAAGGAAAAGGAAAGGAGAGGGGAGGAGAGGAAAAAAAAAAAACAGAGAAAACCTTTTTTAGTTTTGCACATCCCTTGATTCTATTCCTTTCAAAGTGATAAACTTTTTCTTTTGCTCATAAGAATCTATATTAAAAAGATTAAAAAAAAATAAACTTTTAGAACTGAATACCAGTTTTAAAGCAAATAATAATAATAGTAATAATAAAAATCAGTGTTTCTTCATCAGTGAAAATCTTGTAAAATTTGTGTTCTCTAAGAAACATTTTGAAGAACACAAGAAGAGCTTTCCATAGCACTGTTATGGAAAGACTCCTTCTCAACAGGGCTTATTTACATATTGTCTTGACCCTGGACTGGTCAAGAATAAACCATTAAAAAAATATTAAAAAAATAAAATAAAAAATTGAGACTTTTTATCTTATTGCTTTTAGCTCTGTATAGTTTTAACAGGTATTAACTGACAACTTTTAACTACTGCTTAACTTTTTGTTGAACAATCAGATAAAAAAAAAAAAACACCTTGCAAAAAGGAGCACAATCTATCCGCATCACTGTTTGAACACTAATAGAATGTATTGATCTTAAGATGTGTTAAAAGTCTTATTTCTTGTTATCATGCTTTTAAATTCTAAGACCTCTTCAAAACTCAAGCTCAATTTCTCTGACAAAGTGCTCCCAAATAAATGAAAGGGACTCTTCAAAGTGCCTAGATGACCATTTCCACTGGAAGTAGTAATAAGCAATAATAAGTATGTTGCCTCTTTGTGTTCTCTACAGTTGGGACTCAGGACTCTGAAACTGTGTAGTCTCTGAGAAGATCCTGTTTCTCTCTCTCTCTCTCTCATCCTCTCTGATGCTGCAGAATTCACTCACTTCCTCCCATCACTCCTCCACTTGGTGACACAGCTCTTCAACATCACATCTGCTGCATGAAAGGACACCATCTTTTTCAACTTCTGGGAGAGAGACCACAGACACTCCCTATGACATCTGTCTGCGTTAAAAGTTCTGCATTAGCAGGGTTAGCCACTCCAAAATCTGCAGAGGAATATGCCCTGAGGCACATCACCACCATACCTGAGAAATGATTATGCTGGTTACAAACCAGGATCTTGCTACATTAATTGCTGCATGACCTACTACATCTATTAACTGTACTCTGTTCATTCTAGAAGCTGTACTCTAGGCCCGGCTTTTAAATAAGCCTCTCCATAGCACCAGCTATGTGGGTGCTTGACTGCCCTAATTTGTTGCAGCTGGAACAAATAGTGCAGACATCCTTGAGTCAAGGACACAACTGAGCTTGTTAGAGGCTAATAGAGCTTCTTAGGGTCCACATTTCTGTGCCTCTCATTGTCTTATCCTGGCAGTAGTAGTAGCAGGCAGTAGTAGGTGCCATTAAGTTTCTCATACAGTTTGCATGGTCTTCCAATGTTCCTGGACCTTGTCCTGAGAAGATCCAAAAGCTCCTAAACCAAAACCCAGAGACTGCTGTACAAACTGTTGTGTCTGTTTGCTTTCATTACCTGTGTTTTCAGTCAAGCCTCTGATTTAAAAAGTTGACAGACACAGACGTGGAGAAGAGGGATACATGCATTCTGGTCTTAATTTTCTTACTCTTCCCCCATTCACAGGCAATTTACTTCACCTTTGTATAATTTTATTTTCACCTTTGTGTTCTGCATTTCCAGTTCAGTTTGCTTCAGTGATTTTGAGCTTACTGGTGCAAGGACATTCTCTTTTTGATAATGCCTGGGAAAAATGTCCTTTCTTAGATAATTCCCTCATGATTTATTTTTCTTAATTTTTACTTACCTATTTTGTCTTCCACACTTAACCAAATGACTTGTATCAGTCTATTCTATTCTTCCTTGTGCTCCTTTTTCTCCTATCGACATGTGGTGGTTTTACTTGGGTAGGCAATTGAGCTCCACCACACTCGCTCTCTCACTCCCTCTCATCTAAAGGAAAGGGGGAGAAAAAAAATGAAGGGCTCAAGGTTTGAGATAAGGACTGGGAGACTGCTCAACAATTATTATGACAGGCAAAACAGACTCAGACTAGAGAGATTTATTTAGGCATTTATTGCCTATTACTAACAAGCAAGTGAAGTGAGAAATAAAGAAACCAAAAATGCCTTCCCTCCATCCATCCTCTTCCACCTCATCCCCCAAGCGGCGCAGGGGAATAGGGGTTGCAGTCAGTCTATAGTGTTTCTCCTCCGCTGCTCCTTCACGGTCACTCTATTCCCTTGCTCCAGTGTGGCATCCATCCCACAGGATGCCGTCCTTCCTGAACTGATCCTGCATGGGCTGCCCACAGGCTCTTCAAGAACTGCTCCAACATGGGTCCATATCTCAGGGTCCATCTGTCTGAAGCAACTTGCTCCAACATGGGTCCCTCATGGGCAGCAGCTCCTCCAGACCCCCTGCTCCTGCGTGGGCTCCTCTCCACGGGCTGCAGCTCTGGCCTGGGGCCTGTTCCTGTGGGGGCTCTGCATGGGCCTCAGCTTTCTCCAGGCCACATCCACCTGCTCCACCGGGGGTTCCTCCATGGGCTGCAGCATGGAGATCTGCTCCATGTGGAACACATGGGCTGCAGGGGGACAGCCTGCTCCACCAGGGGACCACAGGCCTCAGGGGAACTTCTGCTTTGTTACCTAGAGCAATTCCTGCCCTCCTACTGTATAGACCTTAGTGTCTGCAAAGCTATTGCTCACTGCTCTCTTCCAGCTGCTGTTGTGCAGCAGGTTTTTTCCCTTTCTTAAATATGCTGTCACAGAGGTGTAAACAACATTGCTTATTGGCTTAGCTCTGGCCAGTGGCAGTCTCCTTATCTAACATGGGGCAGCTCCTGGATTCTTCTCACAGAAGCCACCCCTGTAGCCCCCTGCTACCAAAACCTTACCACATAAACCCACTACATGACATTAATATAGAAAACATGCCAGCTGAGCAGAATGATAAGTTTTATTGATTTTCACCTTTTATAAGATAGGTATACCACTGTTCATGAGTAACTCCCACTAATTTTTGCTGTATAATAATAAATGAACAGGACATGACTCTTCATCATTTTAATGGCTGTCATGTCATAGCTGAAAGGTTTATTTTTTATTTTTAAGATGTCAAAGTCTAAGGATACAAAAGAATGCAGACATATAAATTCCTATGTATTCAAACTTTGGTCACTGATGTCCAAAGCTCCCATCGTGAAAACACCAATTAACTGAGGCTGAATCTTGGAGAAGTTTTGTTTTGTTTGTTTGTTTGTTTGTTTGTTTTTAATACATACATATATATATACATATTGCATTGTTAGTAATGGCTTTACTGACCATGTCAATCAGTGTTTCATTTCAGCATTTATGGAGTTTGTTGGACCAACACCTACCTCATTCCTAACCCCCTCAGGATGTGCAGGCATAGCATACTTCTATGTTATCTGAATGTCCTAGGTAGTAAGTCCTATGTTGTTTGAAATATATAATAAAAATAAGTTTCATATCAGTGTCACCATACTTTTTTTTTTTTTATTATTAATTAAATTGTTAGAAAATTGTTAGAATTCACATTTATCATTTTCAGCTTTGTTTTCAAAACAGTCTTCAGCTTGAATATGTTATTTTTAAAAAGTCAATCTAAGGTTTCAATACTATGATGTATGATTACTTTGGAAACCATTGCACTTCCCAGATATAACTGGACAGAAAGTTGAAGAAAAAGTGAATATGAATGACTTGGTTTGTGATCCAAAAACATAGGCATAGGTTCTCATTAGGACTTCAAATTTCATTTTGTGTATTCATATTCTGTGGCTACTGGACCACAGAGAGGTAAAGTGTCAGGAACCTCTATTCTGGTTTGCTAGAAACAAGGTGATGGAAACTCCTGCTCAAAAGCATATCAAATGATTTCATAATAAAAATACTAAAATAAAATAAATAAAATAAAATAAAATAAAATAAAATAAAATAAAATAAAATAAAATAATAATAATAGTGAAAAACACACAGAGTTAGTGAAGCATAGACTAAAACACAAATACCTTTTCTTCTTCTGAGTGACAGCTCTAATCAGTAAGCAAGAAAGTCACACACATGCATATTCTCTCCCTTGTTTGTTTTTTTTTTTTTTTTTTTTTTCTGTCTTTGGTCCAACAGTCTTTGATTATTGCATGAAAAATGGAACAGTTTCAAAACAATGGAGTGAGAATGCCCTTGATCTATGTATGTGTCCCTCAGGCAGAGAAAGACATTTTAACTGTGCCTTATATGAGTGTTTGACTGCTTAGTGATAAAAATGCAAAGAAAGAGGTATCTTCTAAACTAAACTAGATTTATAATGTTATAAAATATTATTGAAATACTTGAAATGAAAAAAAAAAAGTGAGTGACTGCCTTGCTTTTGAGCCACAATTCAGTGTGGCTCAACTCGAGTTCAGAGGTGCAGATCCTGTAACAGGCAAACACTCCTCCAGGAAACACACCTAAATTACAGCAAAAGAGAACATCATACCTGTTTCTACGTATCTGACTTCTTCACCTTCAGTGTACTATCTTCTTTTCATCATCCAGTGCTTCCCAAGCACTTTTTACAGATAGGCATTAAAAAAACAAATTCAGATTATAGACTGGAACATACTGTTTCTATAAAGAACATTAAAAATTCAGGAGTTACAAGCACTTCAATATATATTTTCACCAATTCAAAATCGGTAATGGGTATGCTTTGTCTCTATTTCCCCCTTTACTTTTCCCCTTTACTGCTTCTATTTGCCCCTAAAATGTTATAGCTTAGACTTAAGTAAGAAATTTGAATTTTGATCAAGTGCCAGAAACAGAATCCTTAACCTAAATATTTAAGATAGGTTTTAGGTTGGCCCCACATTAGTTAGACTGTTGTTTTAGAAAACATTCTTTATCTCAGCATGTCCTTATTTGTCCCTTATACAATATTTTTATTTAATAAGAGACATTGATAAATTATGGATCAGTTACCAGCTTGGCATTATTTCATCTGTCTTGGTGGAGGTATTTATCTAGCATCAGTTTGGACAATTCTAAAGGCTTTTTTAAAACATATACAAAAATATTTCAATGAGAAATACTAATCAAGCTGTTAAAAATAACTCTGAATACTAACATATTAAGCACTGTAGTGTTTGTGGAATTAGACAATCAATCTAATAAGTATGCAGGATCATACATTTCTTCTTTGGTTTCCCTAGTTTTCATGCTTTCAGTTTCTTACTTTTTTTTTTTTTTTTTTTTTTTTTTTTCTTTCTGTTAAGCATGAAGGTCTTGCAGTCTGCAAACTGTCTTCAAGGGTTTGCAGTATAGTGTCAGATACTCATATTGCTTAATTTATTTACTTCTGGTCAATGACAGTTGCACCCAACATCTTTGCTATAGGCTTTGACAGCATTAAAATGAAGTGACAAGGTGCTAGCAATCATTGAAAATGACATCTTCTGTCATTGCACCTGAGACAAAGTATTATTGACTTGTAAAGTATACCAGAACTTGTAAGTAAATTAAAAAAAAAAATAGAAGAGTTCTTTTTCAGGTGTGATCTTAGTAAGAAAAATAGAACAGAATGTCATAATTTTGGTCTTTTTTTCTTTTTATGTGATCCATACTTTATATTTTTCCTATCTAAAACTGTATTTTTTCTGTACATGTTATACTTGATATACTTGTACATGATATACATATATTCAGTTTATCTATAAGGAAGAAACATGAAAGGAAATCTGGACCAAAACTTTTTTTTTTTTTTTTTTTTTTTTTTTTTTTCTGAATTGGAGATTGGAGTTCATCATCTCTATAGCATGCAACTTATTCAAGTAACAGAAATGTAACAGGCATTCCAGGACACAAGTCTAATCACAGATGAGAGAAGTGTATGTAAACAGTATAGATAGAGGTTGAATGTAGTGAACCTTCCTGTGTCTTTGTACTACTGTGTGCCATGTCTAACCACTTGTTGTTACACGTTGTCCTCAGCTAGGTGCCAGTGCTTATAAAGGCATTATCTACTTTAGGATACATAAAATAAATTAATAATCAATAAATTGTTTGTAAGTGGCCTTCCATCTTAATTTCACTCTTCTCTGTATGATCTCCTGAGTCATTAATAATTTCTTTTTGGCAAGAAA